TTTTACCAATTTTCAATAAATGGACTTAAAAAGTGATTCTATGCATATTCTCAAAAGGAACCATGTATCTATCTCGTTTCCTTTTGCCTGTTACCAACACATGCACAATGACATTCACGCCTATTAATAGTCCTGAAAATATAATTTTTTAAATGTTCCATATTCCAATAGCCATTCTCTCTTCCTCTTTCTCCATCACTCCAATTGGAGCCACCCCGTCTTCCTCTCAGCCAAAACGAGTTCAATGTTTGCTAAAAGAAAACACCACGACCAGATGGCCGGCCATAAACATTTAAATATTTGCTCAGACTAAATGCAACAATAACAACAATAATATAATACTAATAATAATTGTATAAAATTAACTTTTAATATATAATATTATCTTGTTAATTAAATACTTTCCATTCAAGGTAGTGTGGTGATAGAGGCGGGATACGAAAGATGGGATATAGGGGAAGTTCACACCATGCCATAAATGTGATCAATAACCTAATTTAATGGTTGGTCGCTTGATTATTAGCTGGTTGGTTGGAGGGACCCCCCTGACGAAGAAAAGGGAAACATTTGTGATTCTTTTTTGGGTGAACTGTGAATTGGAAATTTTCCCCTGAGATTAACCCATTAAGTGATGAGTAACTTTCTATGGAGAAAAATATTTAAAAAAAAAATATTTTTAAAATATAAACAAAAAATTATTTTTAAAAAAATCACGTGATATGACTTAAAAAATCCACGACAATTAATAGGCCTTAAAAAATTTTTAATAAAAATCAATGCCTATTGATAGGCCTTAAGAAATATTAATTATATATATATAATTTTAAACAATCCCCGTCTATTGATAAAAAAAAAAAAATATTTAAATAAAATCAAACCTATGGTTAAACCTTCAAAAGACTATTTTTGAAAATGCCACGTATATTGTAGACCTTGACAATATAGTTTTAAAAAATCCAAGCCTAGATCTTAAAAAATATATTTAAAAAATCCACAAACCTTAAAAATATTTAAAAACTTTTTTTAATCTACCCCAATTGATGGACCTTTTTTAAATAATCCAAATTTAAATAAACCATCCTCTGCTGGATTTTCTTGTTACCATTTTCGAACAATGGGTTAATATTTGCCATCAATACAAAACCATAATGTTGTGCAAATCTGCACGCAGTCAGGCAGGCGTAACAACAGACTGCCAGATTTATATTTTTAATTTTTCTAACACTTTATTTTATTTATTTGTTTGTTTGTGATTTATTTTTTGAGTAAACAATCGGCGACGTTCGATTCAAACAACTGGCTGCCGTTCTCATAATTTTTAATGGGAATCGATTCATATATTGAACCTTGACCCACAAGATGAATGAAAATAAATGTACCAGTTTTCTGATAAATAAACGGATCAATAACCTGGGTCAATGATATATATTTTAAATAAATAAATAAAAAAGATTGATTCAATTTCTACGTCACTCTGAAATGCTAATTGAATATCTTTAAGGAGAAATGGGGAAAAAAATTCCACTGGAACAGAGATAAATTATTTCTGAAATTTAATTATTTGAAACCTAAAAGTCTGATTTAAAAATGTTATAATGGGGCCATATATTAGGTTGAATGAAATAATTATGAAATTTCAATATGAAAATTGGACTAAACCGTCAAAATCTATCAAATCCTAGATTTTCCTAATGGAAAAGGTAACCTTTAAAACAGTAATTTTTTATTATTAATAAATAATTTTTAATTCCCATTTGTTCCACATAATTCCAGATGTTTGTTTGTTAATATTTTCCAATTAGAATTTTTTCCACATTAAAAAAAAAAACAATACATTACGTAGTTATCATCTAAATTTGCGCATCATGTACTCGAATCGTGTCGAATGCATGGTTCCAGTTTATCATGCACACATACAAAATAAACGTATGAATACAAATAAATAATAATTTATAAATTAGTTAAATAAATAAACAAATCAATATCCATATTTTTTTCAAACTCAAAAATAAACTGACAACATATCAATACGTCGTTTTCACACCACGTCACGCTAGGTTAAGCATCTATGGGGGTAGACTTATGAAAAAAGGTCTCATTACAAATATATCCACCAAGTCCATTTCTTAACGTAAATATTAATTTATCTCATTTGCGTATTGTTTATTGGCTTATAAAAATGTTATTTGTGTTCTAATATTTATTATGTAAATATTTTTGTTGTTGTTAATGGTATTGTTATGAACCAATTATCATAAAAATGGGAAATCTGGGAAAAGGACAGCAATAGGCAATTGCAAAATATTTATGAATTGTTTATCAGTTTTAAATGTTTATAAATAAAAGGCTGAGGATGGTGGTTAGTACTATAATGATTTGATATCTTCTGTATTATGTACATTTTACTGTTTTTTTTTAATTAATTTTAATTATATTTTATAAACAACATTCCCATATTTTAATTTTGATCCATTCTTCAATGATCATTAGTCAGAAATTTTAAAGATTTCATACTTCTTTCGCGCCTTAAAGCATGCTATCAATTTGTATATTTTCCACACAACTACTCGGCAGTCTTCAGTTGCCGAATAATTAGATGACCTTTTACCAAAGACAGGTTAGGTTTGGTGATGTGCAGTCACTTATGTGGCTGCATCACTCTGAGACCGTCAGGCCCATTTTGATCATCCACGAAAAGAAAGAGATATGGAGAGATCTATGGGGGAGAAAATAAGGGGGGTAGAGAGAGATGAGAAGCTTACAAGGAAGTGTGAGAAGGTAAATATCAGATAGTATCGATGGCTATAGAGATCGGACAGAAGATATATTACGTGTCAAGGTTGAACTTTCCCAACCACTTTAGGTTTCTAATTATGCTGTAGATTAGAGCAGATTCCGTTGTTGAGAAGAAATGAAAATGAACACCCACTAGTCTGTGCCGTCTGTAAGCCAGGACTGGACAGTGACACAGGATATGCTCAATTCTCTCCCGCTCCTCCACGTCAACGCAGAGTCTACAGTAATCATTTGCATCGTGGTCTCATTTACTGGTAAAGGTCCTGATATTGCAATGACCAGTAATAATTCCTGTCATTACATTTATATCAGCTTTGCTCAGATTCAACAGTGAGTGTGTCCTTTTGGTAGACATTGCACCTAGGTCCGTAGTGCCAAAGTTCATAAGCTCTTTCGTAGAAGAACGCCTCAAAGTTCCGATAGAGATGGTTTGATTGGCTTGATTGAGTATTCAATTGCTAGATCTGTGGATTGAGATCCTCGTCTAGATAATTCGTCTGCTCTTTCATTACCCGTGATGTCACGGTGCCCTGGAACCCAACACAGCCGATAGCTGTAAGTAAGTTCTTCCAAAACTGTTCTACACTTGAGAACAGAATTTGATGGCTTTAACAGCCGCTTGACTATCCACGAATATAGTCACCGGTTCAACGATCTCTGCATCCAAACATTTTATCAATTCCGCTGCCTCCCAAATCATGAAGATTTCAGCTTGGAAAACACTACAATTGCAACCCAGCTTGTAGGTTAACTCAAGACGTAGCCTTTCACAATAGACGCCGGCCCCGTACCTTCTTCCATCTTGGATCCGTCTGTATACAAAGCCAGACCGCCCTGAAGAGGGTTACTCCAGATTTCAGTTTGGAAAACACTAACGTTGCAATCCCGCTTGTAAGTTAACTCAAGGCCTAGCCTTTCACAGTAGACGCCAGTCCCTGTACTTTTTTCTATCTCGGATCCGTCTGTGTACAAAGCCAGACCGTCCTGAAGAGGGTTACTCCGGTTCCAGTCGTCTCTACTAGGAATAACAACATCTACATCGTCAAATCTCAGGACTGGTGATATAGCTGCTTCGTTCAAGATACAACCATGCCCAAAGGCACAACTTCGCCAGAGATTTGGTTCATGCTGAGGCCCAGAGGCTTTCCTATATCTAGGAAGGCGGCCAGCGTAAAGATTGAATTTTCCATATTCTTCTCAATTTAGCCTACCACCTCGTGCAGTGCAGATTCTATAGACTAGTTGTAGACTCAAGTATATACTTAGATTAAATCTGTCTGCTAAAAATCGAAATTGTTTGCCAATAGATTGGCACATTTAGTGGGACTCTCTCATTCCATATGTAGATCAAGGTGGCGAACTTGAAGATAATGGGTATTTTCGGCTAAATTAGCATTTCAGCCGATATCTGCAGCTTAGTCATCCTCCAGCAAGAGACCACAGCCTTATCCGAATTATGGAATCCATATCCGAACGTAAAGCTAAAAAAATACTATATTAATGTATCGTGACTTTTACATTAAAGACTATAAGGTATTCAATACCTATAGTCCAAGGTAAAAAACCAATTCTTTGTCCTCAACCATAACGATATAAACAAATTAATTAAAATCTTCCAAAATTGCAATATATACACATGTTAAAATATAAAAATAAATAATTGAAGTGTTTTTCACAAAATCACTCCTTTACAGCTCTGTCTAATGTTCCAATGTAGCACGTACAATTTGATCTATAAAATATTTTTAAGAGAGTTAAAATAAAATGTAGTTGTTGTTAATAACATGCATGCCTTCTCCCAGATTAGATAACACAAGAAGTCTCCCCAACAATTGCATTAATTGAAACAATTCACGTGATTGGAGTCGAAAGAGTAAACTGAGAGAGAGAGAAAACTCGAACCAAGCTGAGTGGTAGACAAAACATTAGAAGCCATGCAAAACTCTGCTCCCCAAACATTCAATTTAATCAACACAAAACGATCCACAATACCCCCTTAGACGAAATTAGTTACGTTGTGGTTGATGTTCGAGTCAAAACATTTTAATTTTTTTTTTCTTAGTCGGATATTTGATATTTTAAGAGTAGCCTCGCTACTCTTCGCTAGAACAAAAAAAGTGAATGTGTATTTTGTATACTAATTAATTAGAAATCAACAAATAGCAAAACAAAACAAAGAGTGTGGTGCAGTGTAATTAAAAAAACAAAAACACACAAAATGAAAATACGAAAAAATTTCCTACCCAAACGTATTGTCGATTGGCTGTGCTTTCTTTTGATTGGTGTCTTTTTACCGATCGTTTTTATTTTCGAAATAATTGTGGTGCTGCCGGCATTTCATGAACCTGGAAGTTTCTGGCATACATTTACATTTGTGATGGCCTGTTTTTTGATATTCAATATTACGGGGAATTTCATGGCCTGTCTAATGATCGATACCAGTGTGGATTGTAAGTAGGGAGGGAGAGAGTGGTGTTAACTGAAATCAAAACAGCTGATGACAGAATGCTTTACTAACAACAAACGTAAATAGATAAACAACAGAGCTAGGGCTAGTCGGTGAAGGCTAATGTGTGAGAGATACCCCACAACACAATGACTTTCGGGCGAATAGCGCCAGCATTTAGTGACCGAAGACTGTCTACAGGCGGTAAAAAACGAGAAAAAAATTGTTTTATATAGTCTGAAGATATCCTATAAGTCTTCTATAGACCAAAGACCTTTTATAATTTGGGGATCTACGAAAATCGTCTATAGAAAGATGACAGTTTGATTAAGACATTATTTAGGCCATCTGTAGACCTCAGATTCATCTTCTATAAGCGGAGAACCATCTATAGGTCCCCTTTAAACAGAGGACGTACAATAGACAGAAAATCATTTATAGATCTTTCATAGACGGAAGACTTTCTAGAAGAAAGTCGTTCTTTTATAGTCAAAGGACAGAAGACCTAATGATCTTCTATAGACAGATGATCATATATAATCAATTTCAATTTCAATTTATTTCATAAACGAGAATCTAGCCCAAAGGGCCAAAAGCGATTCAAAAAACAACAAAAAATAAACTACTCCAAAAGCTTAAAACTAACAGTGTATTAGCTTAATGATAACTTAACGTCTATTCAGTTGGAGGGGTTCAGAACCATTGTACTTCAAAAACATTTTTATTATTATTATTATTCCATTATTTGATGTAGCGACCTATCACATAGGGCAAAGGACTTCAATATTATATCTACTCTCAACCACTAAATTCAATTTACAGGTTCAATATCTTATTATTATATCACAATTATCAATAAATATATTAAAGGGTCTCCTATAGACAGAAGGCCTTTAAAGGTCTCCTATAGATAGGATACATTCAAAGGTCTTCTATAGACAGAGGACCTTTAAAGGTCTCCTAGACACAGAATATCTTAAAACGTATCCTACAGATAGAAGACATTCAAAGTCTTCTATAGACAAAAGACCTTCTACAGGTATATTGAAAGAGGATATTCAAAGGAACTCCAGAAACAGACGATCATTCTATATGTTTCTATAAATAGAAGATTTAATTAAAATAGGCCTTAAAGGCTTCAAATTGAATTTTTTGAAATAAATAAATATTCTACAGATTTATAAAGACTGAATCTATAAGACTTACAAAATATTTTATAAAGTCTGGAGACCTTATAAAGGCATACAATATATAGGCAACCGTCTACAGTTCTTAAATGTAGGACCTTCAAATCAATTATATAAATATATAATTTAGAACCTTCAACATTTCTTCTATAAATTTACAATTAAAAACCTTATACATATATAAGTTCTATACATAAGTCAGATCATCTATATTCTGAAATCCTTCCTAGGTCTTTCATAGGATTTTCTATAGAATAAAGAGTGAAGATCTTCTTCTATATAGTGAGTGATTATTTGAAATCTTCTTCTAAAAAATAGAAGAAAAAATTCTATAGTTTTTGAACACCTATAGATTCTATACATCGACCAGGTTTGCTCAGCTCTTTCGTAGGTTGAGGTAAATATGTGAATATAAATATATAATATAGAACCTCCAACATTTCTTCTATAAACAAAGGCATTTTAAAATTAAAATATTTTATATATAAGTTCCGTACATAAGTCAGATCATCTATATTCTAAAATCTTTTGAAAGGATTTTTTATAGAATACAGAGTGAAGATCTTCTATATAGTGAGCAATTCTATATAGTAAGCGAAAATAAAGGAATCGATTCTATAGTTTCGGACCATCTATAGATTCTATACATCGACCAGGTTTGCTGAACTCTTTCGTAGATTGAAGGTTTGCTAAGGTCTTTCGTAGTATTTCTATAGGTTAATAAGTGAATAACTTCTTCTAAACAGAAGGGACTTTTTTAAATCAACTTCTAAAAATAGCGAAATAAATTAGAAATTCTATAAATAATTATAAAAAAATACCTTTTACATCCCGTTTTTCTCCTTGCAGTCGAAACCATCCGCCCACCACCAAATGCCGAAGAACTTGGTTGGTGGTTTTGTAAAAAATGTGATCGTACCGCACCACCACGCAGCTGGCATTGTAAAGTGTGTAAATGTTGCATACTAAAGAGGGATCATCATTGTCTCTTCGTTGGCTATTGTATTGGACATCGCAATCATCGATATTTCATGATGTTCGTCGTTTTCCTCTTCATTGGAGCCACATATGCTTTTGTCTATAATTCCCTTTATCTGTGGGTGGTTAAGGCTCGCATTTATCGTAACTTGCTATCATTCCTGAAAATGACCTGCCCAATGTTGATGGTTGTCAGTGGACCTCTATGGCAAAATATGTTCCTTATCTTTTATAATTTAAATATACTGGCATTTGTTTATAGTGTGGTACTGATGTGGTATCATGGTTCCGGTCTCTTTGAGGGTGGTGTTTGCTATGAGAAGAGTAAAAAGTTTCCATATGGTAAAGCAAATTGGCGCGACAATCTTCGTACGGTATTTGGTAAACAAATGCATTTGGTATGGCTGTCGCCATTGTTGAAAAGTGAATTGCCGGAGAACGGCATCGATTGGCATCTGACGGACAAAAGTGTTAAAAAGCCTGTTAAATTATTGTGTAAACAAGATATTAAAGAGAAGTAACAATAAAAAACGAAATGTTATTTATTTTTACCAAGAAAATAACTCTGTTTATTTTTCGAGGGGAATTTATTTTTTTGAATATTTGTATTTGGTACCAGCAATGTTGCCGGGGAAGGTTATAATAACGTACACACTTTTTAAAAATGTTCAATAAAATAATTTATTTGCTGAAATGTACGAACGGAACTGTTACCACATGATTGCACAGAAGATCATGGTCCACAAAGAACGACACCTCCAAAAAAAGAATTATTTCCGAATGTGATTAATAAGTAAATGCGACATATTATCCTTATTTAGAAATATAGGCGGCAAATACAAAAATTATTTTGTTAAATGAAGAAGAAAATTCGCTGACCTGTATTACCCAACATTGATGTGTGCAAATGCTGGCTGCTGTGAAAACATTAATAATTCCTTATAATAACTTGGCAGCACTTTTACTAATGTAAAATTGAGGAAATTTTTTTATTTTTTAAATACCTACCATTGTATAATTATTATTATAATTATTATTGTAATTATTATTGTACCATGATACCTACTAGTGATAGTAGGTATTTAGTTTCTGATAGATTGCTGAAACTTTGGAAAGAGGTTCTTTATGTGCCAGGAATCTGATATACCAATGTATAGCCACATCGATGAGGACATTCGGTTAAAAGCTTAGTAATACCGAAAATGGAATGGAATCCTTATGTCAAAATATATATCAACTTCGACATAAATAGACAGTGTTCCTCAAAAATGTATTTTATCCTACAATATCCCAGAATGCACAAGAGAAATATCAGATAAAATCTTCAAAATACTGACAATGAGGCGCAACGCTTATATGGGGGCTATGTCAAAACCTATATTTATCATTTTCACCATATGAGTATGCCAGCATTCAGGAACTCTTTATAACAAATTGGTGTAAAACAATTCCAAAATACCGAGAATCCTTAAATATCAGCTATACCAAAATATAAATAATAATTTTTGGTAGGAAGATTTGACAACCCATAAGAACATGAAAAAATTAGGGCAAATTCGGTTAAAACTCCGAGTACACACCCCTTAAAATAACGAAATTAGGCTAGTACATGTGGCCTACCTAAAAACTCGGGCTTTTATTAATATTTTTAGTTGGGAAGATTTTCTACTCAATAAGAATCCCAAATACCCAGTGAGAATTCGAAATACCAAATTACATATATGGTATGTTCCCGTAATGCAAGAATCAACTAGTTTTTACTAATTTGTTCGATATCATAAAGGCAAAACGTGGTATGGTAGTAAAAACTAGTAGATTCTTGCAGTACGGGAACAGACCAATAGCTTTTTTTTTGGAAAAAAACCAGGGTGAATACATTCGAACTCTCGCCGTGAGCATTCGTGAGTGTATTTTAATCATTCTTTGCACCCTGCTTTAAATACTTCTATCTAAAAAGGCCTTTAAAGGCTTCTATCGCATACAAATTTCATTTTAATTTTCTGTGGTCTAAAAAGGCCTTTAAACGCTTCTAACGCCTAAAAACGCATTTTAATTTTCTGTGGTCTAAAAAGGCATTTTAAGGCCTTTAAACCCTTCTAACGCCTAAAACATGCATTTTAATTTTCTGTGGTCTAAAAATTCATTTTAAGGTCTTTAAACGCTTCTAACGCCTAAAAAACGCATTTTAATTTTCTGTGGTCTAAAAATGCATTTCAAGGCCTTTAAACGCTCCTAACGCCTAAAAAACGCATTTTAATTTTCTGTGGTCTATCTAAAAAGGCATTTTAAGGCCTTTAAACCCTTCTAACGCCTAAAACATGCATTTTAATTTTCTGTGGTCTAAAAATGCATTTTAAGGCCTTTAAACGCTCCTAACGCCTAAAAAACGCATTTTAATTTTCTGTGGTCTAAAAATGCATTTTAAGGCCTTTAAACGCTTCTAACGCCTAAAAAAAGCATTTTAATTTTCTGTGGTCTAAAAATGCATTTTAAGGCCTTTAAACGCTTCTAACGCCTAGAAAATGCATTTTAATTTTCTGTGGTCTAAAAATGCATTTTAAGGCCTTTAAACGCTTCTAACGCCTAAAAAACGCATTTTAATTTTCTGTGGTCTAAAAAGGCATTTTAAGGCCTTTAAACGCTTCTAACGCCTAAAAAACGCATTTTAATTTTTTACTTTTAATTTTAATTTTCTGTGGTCTAAAAAGGTATTTTAAGGCATTTAAACGCTACTACCGCCTAAAAAATGCATTTTAAGGCCTTTAAACGCTTCTAACGCCTAAAAAACGCATTTTAATTTTCTGTGGTCTAAAAAGGCATTTTAAGGCCTTTAAACGCTTCTAACGCCTAAAAAACGCATTTTAATTTTCTGTGGTCTAAAAATGCATTTTAAGGCCTTTAAACGCTTCTAACGCCTAAAAAACGCATTTTAATTTTCTGTTTTTTAAAAAGGCATTTTAAGGCCTTTAAACGCTTCTAACGCCTAAAAACGCATTTTAATTTTCTGTGGTCTAAAAAGGCATTTTAAGGCCTTTAAACGCTTCTAACGCCTAAAAAACGCATTTTAATTTTCTGTGGTCTAAAAAGGCATTTTAATTTTCTGTGGTCTAAAAAGGCATTTTAAGGCCTTTAAACGCTTCTAACGCCTAAAAAACGCATTTTAATTTTCTGTGGTCTAAAAAGGCATTTTAAGGCCTTTAAACGCTTCTAACGCCTAAAAAACGCATTCTAATTTTTTATGGTCTAAAAAGGCATTTTAAGGCCTTTAAACGCTTCTACCGCCTAAAAAACGCATTTTAATTTTCTGTGGTCTAAAAAGGCGCCTAAAAAACGCATTTTAATTTTCTGTGGTCTAAAACGCATTTTAATTTTCTGTGGTCTAAAAAGGCATTTTAAGGCCTTTAAACGCTTCTAACGCCTAAAAAACGCATTTTAATTTTCTGTGGTCTAAAAAGGCATTTTAAGGCCTTTAAACGCTTCTAACGCCTAAAAAACGCATTTTAATTTTCTGTGGTCTAAAAAGGCATTTTAAGGCCTTTAAACGCTTCTAACGCCTACAAAACGCATTTTAATTTTCGGTGGTCTAAAAAGGCATTTTAAGGCCTTTAAACGCTTCTACCGCCTAAAAAACGCATTTTAATTTTCTGTGGTCTAAAAAGGCATTTTAAGGCCTTTAAACGCTTCTAACGCCTAAAAAACGCATTTTAATTTTCTGTGGTCTAAAAAGGCATTTTAAGGCCTTTAAACGCTTTTGACGCCTAAAAAACGCATTTTAATTTTCTGTGGTCTAAAAAGACATTTTAAGGCCTTTAAACGCTTTTAACGCCTAAAAAACGCATTTTAATTTTCTGCGGTCTAAAAAGACATTTTAAGGCATTTTGAGGCCTTTAAACGCTTCTAACGCCTTAAAAACGAATTTTAATTTTCTGTGGTCTAAAAAGACATTTTAAGGCCTTTAAACGCTTCTAACGCCTAAAAACGCATTTTAATTTTCTGTGGTCTAAATAGGCATTTTAAGGCCTTTAAACGCTTCTAACGCCTAAAAAACGCATTCTAATTTTTTATGGTCTAAAAAGGCTTTTTAAGGCCTTTAAACGCTTCTACCGCCTAAAAAACGCATTTTAATTTTCTGTGGTCTAAAAAGGTATTTTAAGGCCTTTAAACGCTTCTAACGCCTAGAAAACGCATTTTAATTTTCTGTGGTCTAAAAAGGCATTTTAAGGCCTTTAAACGCTTCTAACGCCTAAAAACGCATTTTAATTTTCTGTGGTCTAAAAAGTCATTTTAAGGCCTTTAAACGCTTCTAACGCCTAGAAAACGCATTTTAATTTTCTGTGGTCTAAAAATGCATTTTAAGGCCTTTAAATGCTTCTAACGCCTAAAAAACGCATTTTAATTTTCTGTGGTCTAAAAATGCATTTTAAGGCCTTTAAACGTTTCTAACGCCTAAAAAACGCATTTTAATTTTCTGTGGTCTAAAAATGCATTTTAAGGCCTTTAAACGCTTCTAACGCCTAGAAAACGCATTTTAATTTTCTGTGGTCTAAAAATGCATTTTAAGGCCTTTAAACGCTTCTAACGCCTAGAAAACGCATTTTAATTTTCTGTGGTCTAAAAAGGTATTTTAAGGCCTTTAAACGCTTCTAACGCCTAAAAAACGCATTTTAATTTTCTGTGGTCTAAAACTGCATTTTAAGGCCTTTAAACGCTTCTAACGCCTAAAAACGCATTTTAATTTTCTAAAAACGTATTCTAATTTTCTGTGGTCTAAAAATGCATTTTAAGGCCTTTAAACGCTTCTAACGCCTTAAAAACGAATTTTAATTTTCTGTGGTCTAAAAAGGCATTTTAAGGCCTTTAAACGCTTCTAACGCCTAGAAAACGCATTTTAATTTTCTGTGGTCTAAAAATGCATTTTAAGGCCTTTAAACGCTTCTAACGCCTAGAAAACGCATTTTAATTTTCTGTGGTCTAAAAAGGCATTTTAAGGCATTTAAACGCTTTAACGCCTAGAAAACGCATTTTAATTTTCTGTGGTCTAAAAAGGCATTTTAAGGCATTTAAACGCTTCTAACGCCTAAAAAACGCATTTTAATTTTCTGTGGTCTAAAAAGGCATTTTAAGGCCTTTAAACGCTTCTAACGCCTAAAAAACGCATTTTAATTTTCTGTGGTCTAAAAATGCATTTTAAGGCCTTTAAACGCTTCTAACGCCTAGAAAACGCATTTTAATTTTCTGTGGTCTAAAAAGGCATTTTAAGGCATTTAAACGCTTCTAACGCCTTGAAAACGCATTTTAATTTTCTGTGGTCTAAAAAGGCATTTTAAGGCCTTTAAACGCTTCTAACGCCTAGAAAACGCATTTTAATTTTCTGTGGTCTAAAAAGGTATTTTAAGGCATTTAAACGCTTCTAACGCCTAGAAACGCATTTTAATTTTCTGTGGTCTAAAAAGGCATTTTAAGGCCTTTAAACGCTTCTAACGCCTAGAAAACGCATTTTAATTTTCTGTGGTCTAAAAAGGCATTTTAAGGCCTTTAAACGCTTCTAACGCCTAGAAAACGCATTTTAATTTTCTGTGGTCTAAAAAGGCATTTTAAGGCCTTTAAACGCTTTAACGCCTACGCTTCTAAAAAAACGCATTTTAATTTTCTGTGGTCTAAAAAGGCATTTTAAGGCATTTAAACGCTTCTATAAAATCGATTTATCGATTAGTCTCTAATCTCACAAATTCACTGTTATTTTTTCCTACTCCGTGATAACAAGGGAGGAAATAATGGGAGCCATGTTGTGTGTATAACTGAAAAACGAAAATATAAACATAAACAACAGGAAGAACAAAAATAGCAACAACGAATCGAAAACAACCCGGCCGGTTTGTGCCTGTTAGATATTAAACAAAATTATAAAAGAAAAATAATTACAATTTATTATAATTCAAAAATTAATTTAAAATATTGTGAGGAAAAATGTTAAAACTACGTTCACCATGGCGTGATATACCTCGCACAATGTCCGATTTAGGCTGTATCACATTTGTTGTGTTATTCATTCCTTTGTGTTTTATATTTCAATTGTGTGTGGTACTACCGGAATTCCATGCACCGGGAAGTATTATGTTTATGCTGACATGGATTGGTGGATTATTTGTGGTATTTCAAATTGCTGGAAATTTTTTGGCATGCATGTTGGTGGATACGAGTATAAGAGGTGAGTATGATTTAATTAATTGGTTTTTTATTATTAATGTATTTTGAAAATCTTCAGTGAGGGGAGGAGTCACAAAGATTCATAATGAAGTGAATTTTATTGGAGTCCAAACCAACTGGAAGCATTTTTTCAATACACATTGAACACATATAAGAACAGTGCAAATCCTGCAATTAAAAATCATGATTTTTGATTTAATCATGCAGAATTGTTCGCTATATTAGTGAAAAATATTAAAATGCATTCTGTATTTTTTTTAAATCCTCATGATATTTAATATTTCTTCTCTGCTTTTACTTACAGCCACCACGATTCTAACACCACCACAGGAACCACAACTACGTAAATTGTGGCGTTTCTGTTCGCTGTGTGAAGTACTCGCTCCGATACGTTCCTGGCACTGTGATTCGTGCCGGACCTGTGTATTAAAACGTGATCATCATTGTATCTTCACGGGAAATTGTGTCGGTCATCGTAATCAACGTTATTTTATATTATTTATCGTTTATGTAATTATCGGTTGTTCATATTGTTGCCTTTATAATTCCGTATATTTTTGGTATCTACACAAAGATATTTATTTAAATTCAAGAACCCTATTAAGTCTTATTTGTCCTTTTGTTGGATTCTTTTTCGATATATCATGGAATAATTTATATTTACTCACATATGAATTGGGATTTATTTCCCTACTATATGCTTTGATTTTATTTCTATTCCATTGGCCAAATATTCTAAGAGGTGCGACAACACATGAAAGTCAGACGGCGAAATATGATTTGGGTCGTGATTTGAATTTGGAAATGGTATTTGGTAAACGTTGGCATTTGGTGTGGTTATCGCCGTTACTGGAAAGTCCTCTGCCGCATGATGGTGTCCATTGGGAGTCATTGTTGAAACAATCGAATAAAAATCGTTAGATAAATGGAAATGAAAATCAAAGCAATAAATAGGTTTCAATTTTAGTATTCTATTTTTTGTATGTACAATTGTAGTCTATTTAAATTTATTTTATTCATAGCAAAATATTGTAATAAAAAAATAATTTTCATTAAAAATATGTTTGAATTTGTATTAAGTATTTCGTATATTTTTAAAAAGGTTTTCAACATCTACTAATTGGGGCCTTCGTTAAAAATATTTTGAGGTCATTTATGGTGTCTAATTGTCCTTGAAAATATTACCCAAAAAAATGAAATAAATCCACGCTTAATGTGTCTAATAGTCCTTGACAGACAGGCTTGGATTCTTTAAAGGCTTCTAAAAGGCGTGCATTTGTTAAGAATATTTCTTAAGCTCCAACAGACGCGAGGATATTATTGAGTCATCTATAGACCTATATAGAGAGGTCGATTGAGATCTCAATTAGGCGGTCTATTGAGACCTCTATAAGAAGGTCTATAGAGACCTCTATAAAACGTTTTTCACTTTAAAAATTCCTTGTTTTATTTTACACATCACTTTATTTTCGTTTTCAAAAAATCTTCCGCAACAGCGGAAACAACAAATCGTTCCTTTCAATAACTATATTCTATTTGTATTATAATTAATTTAAAAGCAGTAAACGGAAAATTAAAAAAAAATAATAATAACAATTTATTGCTTTAGAAAACTATCGCCCACCAAAGATTTCATCTTGGCTATGTGGACTTCATTTAGCGTAAAACCTTTATGGATGCGTTCGGCCAATGACAAGCCATCCATGTGATTTTCCACGGCATACTGTAAACATTGCAAAGCCTGGGAGGGTGATTTATTCAAAATGGCAGCCTCAACATATTCCATGAGACATGTATCCGAAGGTGTACCCGGTATGCGATGTTGATTTTTATCAATGTTATTAAAGACCTCCACAGCCTTTTCCCAATTGCCACCACGTACCAAAATCGTAAGAATATCACCAATCATTTGTCCGGTGAAAGACAGCTTTTTAGCTCTACCTTCCGATTCCACAACTTTGTTGTAAATATCCAATGCAACCTTGGCAAATTGTTCGGGTAATTGTTGTTGTGATTTTTGGCTTACATCAGGTTTGTTGTTCAACATAATTTTCAAGGTACGCAACAGTAAACTTTCACGATTAATGTGATCGAAAATTACCATATCAGACCAGAGGCGTGGTATTAATTCATAGGCAGCATTAAGTTCAACCATTTTCAAGACTTCTTCCATAATACCCGGTTCAGGGATATAAACATTGGGTACCAATTTATCATAGGTTTCCAAGAACTCTTCAATTGTTGATGTCTGGCACAGCAGGGCAAAGTAATGCCTATAGTAAATCGATTCCTTATAGGTATCACCAATCAAATCGTAATTGTTACCAACATGCAACAGCTTATCCACTTTCTTGGCCAATGAACGATCATGTAAATGATTACGGCATACATCCATGGCTGTGGCAAAGAAATATGTATCTTTGGGATGTTGTATTTTGAATTCTTTGCCTTGTATCTCATTGAGGATATCGACAATGACATGGGAAACGGGACCACGTTCACGACAGAAAATAATTAGTACATAATAATAGGAGCCCAAACTTAATTCAACACCCAACTTCTTGAACTCGGAGAGTACTTGCAGGGCACAGGTGCGTCCCATTTTATAGTTGCCAAAGGTGCTAATACATTCGAGTAGAGCGTTTAAGGTTCCTAAATTTGGTTTCAATTGTTGTTGTTTCATCTGCTGTAGCAAATCTTTACACAATTCCCATTTTTGATCGGGTGTTTCTTTAAGGAAATTCACATTATTGATAATCGAATTGTACGTGGCTGTATCCAAGTAATGTTGTTTCTCCAATGCCTCCTGGAAGAGGGCGTAAGCTCTGTCAGCCTGTAAGGTGATAAAGAATTTATTAAATTGTAAAAAATTATTACTTATACAAAATTCGGAAAATATGTCGATATTATGTCTTCTATAAAAATGGTGTTATGATGTTTTATCTTGAGATTCCCATTAAATAAGACTTCAAAAAAGGAAATAAGTGAAATTTTGGTAATTATCTTTAAATTTGCTTCAATTGCAAAGGTATGAAATAAATAAAAATACATTTTTAGAAGACCCATATATATTGATCTGATGTCTTAAGAGGCTTTTTAAGGGTATTTAGTGATAGTTGTATAAAAAACATATATAGAGTTTATAAGATGCATTAGGGAAACATATTTTCTAAATATCCAACACAAATTATTTTAAGATCAGTATATAAGGGGTTTTTGAACAGCTAAAAATATTTATAGACCAATCTCGATAAAGAAGTTACTTGAGGCTTATATAGAGATCTTTGAGTCTCTTGTGTGCAATAAAAAAGCTTATTACGGAGCTATTTCTCAGTTGTAATTAGCGCCTCTAACATTACCTATGGTAAACATTTCAACCTCATGTGGAGTTTCGGACACTGTATTTTTAAATCTGCAGCATTTTTAATTTTTTTTAAATATTTTTATCAACTGTTGAATTCCACTTATTCCAACAATATTGGAAGCGAAACCGTATCACCTTACCTGATAATATTTTGCCATGCCGCGGATAATGGCAGCATATGCCTCTGTGGTTTTTGGTTCAATTTCATTGAACACTTGTTCAGCTAAATCACCATCTTTCCATGTTTTGGTTTGACGTTGTTGTCCTTGGGTATTTTCCTTAAACCAACGTTCTTCATAATATTCCTCAGGCATTGGCTCCTCATGATTATAAAAACTCAACAATTCCAAAAGACTTTGTTTAGCCTCCGAGGTAATTTCAACACCCTTGGTTTTCATTAGATTATAAACAAAGACGGCATCTTGGATTTGTGATTGTTTAATTAATTGTTCCAAAGTTTGTTGGGTGACCTCCGAGTCTTCGGTGAATACCATTTTGGGGGCAAATGCCTCAATGGGTGGTTGGGCTTCTTGGTGCTGAGGAAAGACAAATATCACATACATTAGAACAACAATAATAACAGATATAACATTTCATGATACCATAAATAATTTACGATGTTCCTCCTTAATCCATTTGGCCGCCTTGCGTCCAGCCTCCTGGGCCATGGCAAAGGTACGTTTGCTAACATTCGAGGTGGGTATCAAATATGGATCATCATGAAACTTGTAATGCGGTGCTGTTGGATCTCTACCCACGGTGGCAGATAGTGCCTCCAAAATAGCTGTGGGAGAACGTTGTATCCGTTTGGGTATGACAATTTGTTCTTCAGCCGCCGTTGATCCGACTGCCGGGGTAGTTTTAATTAAACGCACATTACAATTCTTGCTAATAGCCGGCAAACGTCTTGCTAAATGCATTGTGGCGGTTCTTTTGTAAAGGTTTTAATAAATCAATTTAAAAAGTTTTATTTCTTTTTCGAAATACACAAACGATGATTACAAAATCTTCCACAAGCACCGCAAAAAGGGTGAGAAACAACAACACCAAAACATTTGGTTGCTGTCAAACGCGAATTGTGAGGTTATGGTTTTTTTGTGAACAGCTGTTTATGTGAAATGTTGCCAGATGTCGGGGAATTGTGGTGTGGTGAATTTAAATATATGTGAGTGGAGAATAAAAATGATTTTGAAAAAAATTTGGGACATTTTACCGATATTCAATAGACAACCGGAATTAAAAAGTTTGCAACTATTTTTTTTATTGTTGTTATAAATTTGCTATTTATATCCAATGATATTCGGATTATAAGACATCAGGAAATGAATGGATCTGTTAACTAACGAATAGAATTCATTGAATAATCATTCCGGGTCATAGTACATAATGTAGATATATATTCTGGTCAAAGAGGACCTATGTTGTTTTTGGTAATGTTTGGATGAAATAGATCAACAACTTTAGTTTGGTCTGTTTTTCTAGGGGCTTTAAAGGCAGCAACTATGACCCCAACATCACCAAATTTTATACAGATTAAAAATCCAATATTAAGGGAATGAAATATCCGATATGACCCAAACTTTACACTTCGTAATATTTTCTTTTTTAAGGGCCGGTTAATATTTAGGAGATGAAATAGACCAACAACTTTATTTTGGTCTGTTTTTCTTTTCGCTCTAGAGGCCATAATTATGATCCGAATATTACGTAATTTTACACAGATTCTAAATTCAATATTAAGATGGAATGTACGGTTTAGCCCAAACTTTACCCTTTGTAATATTTTCACTAATCCTAGATCAAGTCCAAAGAAATGATAGGTCGTAGAATAAGGTTAAAAAGTCAGAAAATACTCAGTCTAGCAAATAAAATATATAGCTCTAATCTAACGATTTTTATATGATTCTATGTGCTGACATCGCTGCAAAGACATAGCCCAGCTTGAACATATTTTAATGATCTGATCAGTATTCTAAGGTTAACTTCTTAAGGCTGTCTATCAACGACTTTTTTGTCACTCTTTTGAAGGCTTTTTTAGTGTTGGATTTTCCCCTTTCTATCAAAAATTTTAAAATGCTTTAAGATCTCAGAAGGATATGTCCGTCCCATTTCTTATTAAAATTTGTCATACACTAATATTTATATATTAATGGATCTTACAAGCAAAACCATTAACTATGTAATAGCATCACTTTCAGGTAGACAATATTAAATACAAATTAAAAAAAGGTATTATCCAGTTATCATTAAAAATATGGTACATAACAATATCTGTATATATGTGTATTTGTATGTAAGTGAATCTCAACAAAACCCCAAAAACAGTTGGGTTATTAAAACCCACACAATTCATCATTCAGTTGTTGATCAAGCGTTGATTTGTTTACATCTTTCTGCAGCGCGCCATGACATTGACTTTGTATTACGATGAACGTAGTCCACCGGTACGAAGTGTCCTTATGTTAATTAAAATGTTAAATATTTCGGTAGAATTAAAATCAGTGGATTTATTTAAAAGGGAACAGTTGAGACCGGAATTTTTGGAGGTAATAGAAATACATTTTTCGTCATTTCCAAATAATATTTTGTGTTGATTTTCAGCTAAATCCAGCCCACACAGTTCCTGTTTTGATCGATGACGATCTCACATTAACCGATAGCCATGCTATTCTAATTCATTTATGTGAAAAGTACCAAACAGATGATCAGGATCTATGGCCAAGGGAATATAAGGAACGCATGAAAGTTTTGAATTTATTATTGTTTTCATGTTCGGTGGTTTTTCGCCGCGATAGTGATGTGATGGTATGTAAGAAAATAGAAAAACGAAATGAATTGAAATAAAATTAAATCGTTAGACAGATTTAAATAAATAAAAGAGATGTTCGGATGAAAATGGAACTAAGTGCTTTGATACTTACTGAAAGAAAACTGCAGTGGATTTCGCCTTTAGTCCATTAAACGAAATGGTCCATAATATTTTATGATATAATCCATTTGCTAATTCCACTATGTTTATGTGTAATAAAAATTATTATTTTATTTTTTTTTAATTTCAGTCAGACATTGTTTGCAAAACCTATCCCAAAATCGATTTGGAATATCATCAACGCAAAATCCATGAAGTCTATGATATGATGGAACGTTATTTGAGCCGAAATAAATATCTTGCCTCGGATAAAGTGAGTAAAACTTATTGCATATTAATGCATGAAGTGTCTGGAATAAATTATATAAAAATATTCTCCTTCACCTCAAACAAGAAGATTGAATTTCAATAAAATATTGTTTTTTCATCTGTCTTACAGTTGACAATTGCTGATCTGTCCGCCGTAACCACATTGAGTACTGTCGATCTCATATTTCCCATTGCGGCAACAACGACTGAGACTTCGACGTCACCTAAGTGGCCTCTGCTGGCATTGTGGTTGCAACGTTTGAAACAATTACCAGAATATGATATAAATTCCCGGGGATTAAATATTTTTCATGAGGTTCTGAAAATCTATGGACGATTTGAATGAGGGAAGAATTCTATATAGAAATTATAATTATGTTAAGAAATAATAATTGCAATAAAAACATTTGTTAATGCACATTAAATACTAAGATATGTTGAACCATGGTACAATTATATAAGGTAGGGTAGCTTCTGTCAGAGAGGAGAAAATACACCTCTACCTTATGGGCAATAATGTCAGAATAAATGAAAACAAATGCATACAAGTCGTTTTGTTTGTTTGACATATTTGTAACATTTTACCATAAACGCGAAAAAATGAATGGAATGTCAGGTTTTCTTTTCAAAATCGAGTTGGGAATATGATTTACATGATGATTTATTCACAAATCATACATTTCTTCTTACAAATGTTTTAAAATTCATCTTCAAACTAATCGGTTTTCGAATATATTTTGTTATATTTTTCATTTATATTTGAAATTTAAAACGATATTTAAATTGTAAGAAAGAACGATATTTTCGGGAAGATCTGCAGTTGAAGAATTGATTTTATATTTTGAAATATAAAAACCCCTCTACGGTTCTCAAATAAAGAAATCATACATTCTTCGAATAAAGGAGTTATGATAATTTCTGGTGGAAGTCTAATACCTACTTCCCAAAATAAGTTCTCAGATTTTCTATTTTCTAAAAGTCGCAACAAATCAGATTTCCTGTCAGCCAAAGTCTATTATTTTCTGATAGTCAGATCAAGTCACTTCAATAATTTTTTCATAAAAACTTTTATTTCCATTCCAATGGAACTTTTTCTTAATTCCAAACCTTCTGAAATGAACCGCAATTATGCATGCATATTAAAGCAGCGGATGTTAAAGAGAATAGAATTTTTACATTGCAAATGCGAAGTGGTGAGACACCGTTAACTACACAAAGGTTTCTTTTAGGAAATTCAGATCATTTGCTTACAAACCAACTCGAAGATACGTCATACGGTCTACAAATTTCTCTTCGTTTCAAAATGAAATTAAAGTTTCAAAATAAACTGAAATTTGATGATACGAGGCCGCCAAGTAAAGATGCAACAACAACAACGGTCGATGAGTTACAGCGGAAAGAAAATATCATATCGGAAATAACGGCCAGACACAGAAATTTTATAAGGGAAACATTTCCCACCATGATCATATTTAATAAGAAAGATGAATCCGTTTATATTGTTGAACGTGTTCCCGAACAACTACAATATATCGCTGGCGATGATAGCGGCTGTAATCGTTGGTATAAAAGACGAAAGACAAGACAATGGGAACGCTGGAAACGTGAAGAGGATAGTAGAAATTCATCAAAACGTCGTCGACGTTCCACGACATTGGAAAATGTACCGCCAACAAATTATCGTCGCCTTCTAATGTTGTCTATGTTTATTGTTGTATTTGTTTATCAATTTCAAAATCATGTTTTAAATAAACATTATTTTTGAGAAAATTAAATGATGAAATGTTTTCTTCTCGTTGATCGCATGAAATTTAGTGGGATAAAGTTTGAACAGAATAGATGATCTTAATGTATATCATTTATGTCATCAATCAGGTTCGCCTGGACAAAATGATAATCCATTCATCCACTAGGTTATACTCTGCCAAAACAATTGTCGTACATACCTATAAATATAGGAGCTGGACTGGGATCGTTCTAAAATTTTTTAGGTCTGGGTCTGCTGATTACGTCGATATATAATATGTAATGGAAGTTCATACTTCCCTCGTATTTCTGAAATGTAAAGAGATATACATTGAACAGATTGGGTGATATGGAGGTATACCATTTGAGTCTAAGATCCGTCTGAACAAATGAATCATCCGCCTGTGCTAATACTTCCGAAACCATTGTGTTTAATATATCCAGATTGTTAACAAATAATATAGGAATTCTTCTATATAAAACTCTTCTTCTATATAAAACTCTTTGAAAACTAAAACCTGGAGCGAACTACGCATTTTTGAACATTGTCTTTTAGTCCTTGAAATTCAGCTGAATTGACGGAACTAGTTGAACTGTAGCTCATTGCTTATTATCAAGATCATAGTTCAACTGCGGGTTCTGAATTCGTTTGCTTCTTAATTTGTGCTCTATATGTAGAAATTTTGTATTAGAGGTATATATCTCTGGGAACCTTGGAATTTATTCTTCTCCTAGAAAATACTTTGCAAGTCCTTTCCTCTTTATTTGAATTTAAAATAGATTTTGGTTTTGAATTGAATAAATTTGAAACTAAGAAAGAGATTGGATCTAACACCACGATCTTCGAATATTTGACGCCCTGCCAATACTGATTTTAAAAAGGAGTATCAAAATATATAAAAATGATAATCCATTAATCTGTGAATACCATTCGAACTACTAAATTTACTGCGGGACTAAGGAGGTATAACATACTGTGTTGATTGCATTACGTCG